TTTCCCCTGTGAAAAAAAAGGCTTCTTCGTGTTACATGGCCCATTATGCCAAGAGAAGCAAGAGTAACTAGGGCTTGCTGACAACAAAGCTCAAATATGGAGCAAATTCGATTCGGAGCCGCAGGCGAGCAGACGAAGTGAGACTTCAGCGGAAGGGTTATTCGTCTCACAGGATCCTCAAACGTTATGTTAAATTCTTTTTTTCCATTTTTCTTTCTGTTCTCTCCGTCTGCTTCGGTGCCTGCTATTATCTTGCCCAACGTTGCCTTGGGGCTATTCGTTACTACCTGAATGTGTTCTTTTTCGGTCAGCGTCTCTAACTTTGGTTGCATATTTTATATCGATCCATTCTAAAATCAGAGCGCACCTTTCACCTTTCTATTACGCCGGCTCCACGTCACCCAATTAAAGTCGTTGTTTCGAAAGGGGAAGATATGCCAAACAAAGAATCGAGATCTACTCAAAATGTCGATAATGATTTTGTGTACACATCGCAGTGTGGCTTCTCCAGCATGTCTACGTCCGAATTGCTGAATGCTGCTCCGGAGAGAGACAAAGACCCTGTAACGGATAAAATGGTCAATGCCCTGATTTCTAAAAACCAATGGAAATCGCGGACGGGATTGAGTCTAGAAAAAGGGAGAGATTAACTGTTCTGTCTGGCCTTCCCGAGTTTTCAGGTAACATTGCACTTGAATGAAGGCCAGCAGAGATCTACCGTATGGGGAGGATAAATACGTCGCGTCCTTGATTTCTGGAAGTAGTCTTACCTTCACGTGCACTCTTTATCACTGCGTTGTCTGATGCACATAAATTGCGTGAGTCATCTTTTCGTATTCATGTCCGCAAGAGTATGACCCTGGAGGAGCGAAAGAAAGAGTACGATATGAGACAAGAGAGGACAATCAATGAAAATCATAGTAAAGTTTGGGTCGTATGTAAAGGTGCGCTGAGGCGAACTACAAATTCAATAATTCTATTCGTCCGTGCAACGACTCGCAGATCTCGGATAATCTACCGGTTTGAGCTGTTTCTATTTATCTCCCGCAGTTTGACAAACAAGATTGATCTTCTTCACATTATTCTTGCCTCGCATGCACACGATCTAGTTTTGATCACTTAGACAGGGTTGTCGCCTCACATCTTCGATTCCGAAATTCTGTGGTTTCCACTATAAGGTTTCCCTCGTAAACAGCCCTGTCGTAGGGGCGAGGATGTTTGCTGTTTTTCAAAGATACTTTGAATTGTATTGTCATTCCACCTCCATCATCTTATGCCTCTCTACGTGCTGGTATTTTATGGATTGAATGTTTGTGTTTTGTTCCGACTCGCCCTTTCAGATTAATTTTGGTGTGTCGTCCCCCTCGATCCTCTACTGCCGATGTTGAAAAATCAATAGAGGACCTTTTCAAACTCTCTTTATCTGAAAGTTATTTAATGATTTTGGGTGGCTTCAACTTAGATATCGATTGTAGTGCTGGTGTCGCCGAGAATGTTATTGCTGCAAGGTTCCTTGACTTCTTCAGTAAGTGCTCACTTACTCGACACGAGTCTCTACATAACGGAAATGGTTCCATCCTAGACATTATACTCTCGTCCTCGCCTATTTTGAGTAGGGCATCCATTTAAATGCCTTTTAGGTCATCCGACCATCATGTTATCGTCTTCAGCCTTTCAGTTCCGTTGCCGTTCGTACCCGATAGGACCAGCTTTCCTCTCAATGACTATAAGGGAGCCAACTACAGGGGATTGGGTCTTTACTTTCATAATATAGATTGGTAGAGTTCGTTTGAAGAGAATCGTACGATTGGTGAACTCAACGGAGGGTTTTGTGGTATTTTATATCGAGGTCTAGCGATGTTTGTACTTTTTCGTTCTAGTTCATGTAGTAAACCACGATATCCCAAACATATTCTTAAGTTGTTGCCTCAAGAAACACGGCTTTTCAGTGAATCTCATAACATCTTGTTGAAGCCCGACTATGAAAGAGTATGTCTAGAGTTGTACCACCAGCTCAGGAGGCACTCGACTTAGAGGATGTGCAGCAGCTGCTCTCAATCACAAGTTCATTTTTGCCTTCTTCAAGAGGAAAATGGAATTAGTCACCAGATTACTGGTAATCAATTACTGGTAAAGACGATACTGGTAATCAATACTTAAATGATGGAGATAAAGCAGAAGCACCAGCCAAATTTTTTACCTCCGTTCTCACTGCACAGACTAAATTCGTACCCCACCGTGCGGAAGATTACTTCTTATCTCCATCCACACCGCGGCTGAGCGACGTCATTAACAGCTTCGAGGATGTGTGATGACGACGAAGTCGCTCAAAGTGTTCACTTCTGCTGCACCATAGAATTCCTCGAATCGCTTGCAAGAAGTGTGCTTTCGTTCTCTACAAGCCCCTTACAATGATTTTTCACGCCTCATTGATGTTTGCTCGAAATCCCGAACTGTGGAAAAAAGCTATTATTACAGCCATCCCTAAGGATAAAGAAGTATCTATGGTGTCGTCTTACAGACCGACTGGTATCACGTCTAGGCCATCTAAGGTTATGGAGATGTTCATCAAGGACAAGTCCCTGTATTGGCTTTCTTCAAAGCCCCGTGCACCTGCTGAGCAGCACGATTTTATTAGTGGTGCCTCGACAATAACCCAGCTTTCAGACTATCTACATATTTGACTGGAATCTGGCCGTCAATGACGGTAATTGCGTGGATGTCATTCATTTCCATATGTCGAAAGCTTTCGATAAGGTCAGTCAAGAGAGGCTTTTCATTGAACTATCTTCATTCGGAATAAATGGCGCCCTCCCAGCGTGGCTTCAAGCGTGTTGGTCTGAAAGAGAAGTGTGTATTGAGGTTGAAAGCTCCTTTTCAAAATGCTTTCCATGTACGAGCGGCGTCCCCGCAAGGTGGCGTTTTGTCACTCGTGTTGTTTCTGATTTATACATACTATCTGCCTACGTTAATACGTAGTCACCCTTTCACAACGATACAGATGTACGCAGATGACATTAAGATTTATGGACTTTATGATGACGATAGGAAAGCTGCAGTGCACCAGGCACTTACCACCTCCATCTCGTTGATGGACCGGGCTGTAGTAAAAGACATTCCCGTCGATTTTACCAAAACCACAGTTCTGCACTTTGGCCACGGTCCTAGTAACACGTACACGTTCGATGGAAATCCTCTTAGTACAACGAATGAGTTTTGAGATTTGGGTCTATTAGGCGTGTGCATTAATTTCCGCCGTTTTTTGCGTGCAAAAACGTATTTATAAGAAAATCAAAGCGAAGTTTACCTTAACCAATGTATTGTCCATCGTTGGCTACAATATCTTGCCATCTTTCTCGTAGCTTGTTGATTCCGCATTTAAAAAAGTCTTCATCTTTTGAGGCAATCCAGTCATCCACCCATTTCCGCACTTCTTCCGCATTCCGGAAGCGTGTCTCTGCCAAACTGATTTGCATAGAATAAGTGCATAAGTGGTAATCAGAAGGGGCAAGATCCGGTGAGTATGCGGGCGGCCTAGCTGATCCCATCCGAAATCTGCAATTTTTTAAGGACGTTCTTTGCAACATGGGGTCTGGCATTGTCGTGGCGGAGCAACACCTTATGATGTTTACTTGCGATTAACGGCCGCTTTTGGGTAAGAGCATTCGATAATTTGTCAAGTTGGCGTTCGTAGCGGTCAGCAGTAACGGATTCGTCTGGGATCAGCAGCTCATAGTACACAATACCCTTTTGATCCCACCGAATACACAGCATCAATTTTTTGCAGTGGACATCCTGCTTTGGTTGCAAACTCGTTGGTTGGACTGGATCCACATAGGCTGCTTCCCGTTTTGGGTTATCGTAATAGATCCATTTTTCATCCCCAGTAGCTATCCGGTAAAGGAACTTTGTCCTTTTGGGGTCTTCGAGGTTTTTTCTGCACGCCGTCGCGCGTGCTTCGAGCTGCTTTTCTGAGAGCTGGTGAGGGATCCATTTTCCCAGCTTTTTTATCTTTCCCACTTCGTGCAAGCGTCTGTAAATAGTTGCACGGTTGACGCTCATCTCCAATGCTAGCTCTGTTTGGGCCTGGCTGAATCTTCATCCAACAATACTTGCAGCTGCGAATCTTCAAACTTTTTCGGCTGGCCCGGACGTTCCCTGTCTTTCAAATCGAAATCTCCACTTCTAAAACATTGAAACCATTCTCTGCAGGTTCGTTTAGATGGACCTTGTTCTCCATAAGGATCGAAAAGCATCCGGTGGGCTTCACTGGCGTTTTTTTTTTGAAATCAAACAGCAGGAGAAGGGCGCCCGGAAAACGGTTTATCACGCCCCACGAACAATTGGTTGAGAGCAACGGGAATCTGGGAAAAACGGACCTGCCTGCCCTTAAACAGGTAGCCAATGCTCTATTTTACAGGAT